AATTTTATATATATATATATAAAATTTCTGACTACATCCAATTTTCCTCGAGAGCGCACACTCTCCTGTATTATGGAATTTTCTCTGAAAAGGAAAGATGTACACCTTATGTTTAAATTCTGCACAAGAGTCACATTTTCTTCCTGAAATTATCAGGGTTTTGTAATTTCATCTCTCTGAGAATAGATTTCAGTATTTTGAATTCTGGAGAAAAGCAAAAAAGAAAAGGAAATCAAACAAAAAAACAAAAACAAAAAAAGAAGGTAAAACAGTTTGCCCTCAAACCACAGGAGGAAACCACAAGAGGGTGATAGACCAAGGGAAGATTAATGCATACTACTTACTCTCATTGTCTGAACTGTCACTGGTGCTTAGATGCCTGTGGCGTTTCATCCTGACGCATCCTAAAGACAGAAAGAAAGTTGATACCATCCATTCTATCAGGCAATCAAAGGACTTGCTTACACACTTCCCTGCAGTTTGGACTATGAGGCTGTGAATAGCAGCGCATACCAAGCTGCTGCACTGTTACTTCTCCGTGTGAGGCTGCAGGCGCAAACTAAGAAGTTCCTAATTTGCCTCAATTAATCCTGTTTCAAAATGATTACATTAAATGAAAAACGGGAACCTTTTAGTTCACATCTGCAGCATTCACACAGAGGAGTTACCATGCAGCACTTTGGTGCACACTGCTATTCACACTAACATAATCCAAACTGCGGGGCAGTGTCGACATGCCCAAAGTCTCTGTGGATCCTGCTGGTTCACAGCAGGCTAGTCACACAAAGCAGGATTTCTCTGAAGAGTTTTTTCAAGTATTTAAATATCTGGTGATCTAGCAATAGTTAATCACAAACAAAATGTCAGTGGCCTGACACACAGAGCTCTATTTATGAGATTTAATATCCTTAGAGTTAATCACAAACAAAATGTCCCCTTTAAACTTTTTTTTTTAGAAGCAAGTTCAACCTGCTCAACACTGGTTGCTTTCTATATCCCATCTGCTCAGCTAAAGGAAGAGTTGCCATGGTGGCAGTTGCTAGTGGAGTGGGCAGAAGCACAGAAATAAGATGGCAATAGACCGACAGGGAGATAGATACAAGTACAAACCACCTTTAGAAAAAAGAAAAGAGGGTGTGTGAACATGTCAGGGTATATTTTAAATTGAGGGTATCCAGACAACACTGAAGAATTGTAATTTAATAGTTAGACCAGAGCTTTATTTAAAAGAAAAGCTTAGATACCACAAGGGCCCTTTCAGAAGTCTGAAAAATGACAGTGTCAATAACAAATCTATGACTGCATCATTGGTTTCAGAATCCAACATTTTTTAGGCTGCTATTTTAAAAAGTTTAGAAGACAAGAAGAGAGGAAGGAAAATTTGACCCAAAAGAAAAAAGAGAATAATTTAAAATATATCTGACATTCCAATCAAATAGTGTCAGCATCAATCCAAATACATTTTTACAGGTTTATATGTCCCAGTGACAGCGTAATAAAAAATTAATAGTTGACTAATTAAAGTGATCACCTTCTCACAAAATTAAGGGATCTTGGACATCTAAACTGGGTATCTGCACCTCTGTATCCCAATGCCTCACCATGCTTGATTGAAAGGCAGCAGCACCACGTTAAAGTGTTTGCTGTACCAGAATTGCTTGTCCATACCGTAAGCTTACTTTATTAAATGAAAACTTCCTTCCTATAAAAACTGCTAAAAAAAGACTAGCAAAGTTTGTATTAAACACTTATCAATGGTTCTTGAGATTACCCAAAGCCCTTGGAATAAACAGAATTTCCAATACAGGGAGCCTTTCAGAAGGCTTTGAATACTAGTGGAATTGTTAAATTTCTCGAAATCTCAAACTGAAAACCAATGAAGGGCTTTGTAGTGAAAAGGGTGTGGCCTCCTTCCAAGCATGACAGGCAGGGATGGCCACTTACACCCTGGTGGGTAAAGCCAGGCAAGCCAGGCCCGCACCCCCGGAAGAGGGAGGGCACTACAGGAAGTATAAAAGGCTGACCCTGCAGCTCAGTCTGGCTGGAGCTGCCAAGGGAGACAGACCCTTCTCCCCTACTGCTGGAGTAGGATGCCGAGGAGGACCTCTGCTGTCCCAAGGACTTGCCTGAGCTGCCAGAGTGCCCCACCACTCCAGACCCCAAGAAGCTGCTGGGACTAGCATTGGCGGTGTTTCCTGGGGAGATGGATGCAGGTACACCCCGGGGGAGGAAGTAGCCCAGGGACAGCTGGAATGAGACAAGGGGGCGTGGACTCCCTCAGATTGACAGGGAGGGACGGGCAGGCATTTTTACAGGCTTGACTTTACAGAATATAATCTTAATAGCAAATTTATGTTTAAAGCATACCTTTGATGTCCTTCCTCTAAAGAGAAAGATTTATAGACAGAAATTGAGGGGAAAAACTGCATTATTAAAGTTAAGATTTCAAAATTCTTTGTGCGAGGACACCTATTCTACTGAAGTCTTTTTTGGCTGAGGTGGCATTTGTGTAAGTTTGTGCAGGAGACAGTGTTGCCAAGTTTGTTTTAATACACGCTAAAGTAAAACAGCTGCTAACAAGGTTAATGTAATGTGTACAATGGGTAATATAATCCTAAACAAAACTGAATTATTAACTGAACTACACTAGAAAAGAATCAGAGGGGTAGCCGTGTTAGTCTGGATCTGTAAAAAGCAACAGAGTCCTGTGGCACTTTTTAGACTAACAGACGTATTGGAGCATGAGCTTTCGTGGGTGAATGCCCACTTCTTCTGACAAAGTGGGTATTCACCCACAAAAACTTATGCTCCAATACATCTGTTAGTCTACTAGAAAAGAAAACAATCACCACACCTATGGCTATTTTAGTCTTAACTTGGCCTTTACTATGCAAGATTCACCTGAAGCTAATAACTCAAATAGTGACTCTTTCCACACTGAAGCAGCTTTGTAGAAACAAAGCAGCCACACCCCAGCCCAAGCTTATGTGCCAATAGGAGATCTTCCTCACACTTTCCAGCCCTGCAGAATTTCAACTACACACAGAAAATAAGCATAGAGTGGGGGCTAGCATCAGACCAATGAACTGTTATGTGAATCCTTTTGGGCATGAGAATCTCAAGGACTCCAAAAGTGTTAGAGTTGGAGGGGTTCCACTTTAAATAAGTTTCTGGGGCAGTGTGTTTGTAGGGATATTAGACTTAGGCCTCGTCTATGCTGCCACTTTACAGCGCTGCAACTTTCTCGCTCAGGAGTGTGAAAAAACACATCTCTGACCGCTGCAAGTTACAGCGCTGTAACATGGTAGTGTAGACAGCGCTCCTGCGCTGGTAGCTACTCCCCTCGTGGAGGTGCCGCAACTACACAGCCACATTAAAGTGCTGCCGGAGCAGCACTTTAATGTTACCAGTGAAGATGTGCCCTTAGGGTTAGCTGTTGGCGATGTGATAGTTGCTGATGAAGATTACCTTTGTCTTCCCTAAGACTGTAGTTTAAGGTTTGACCAACAAAGCCCTAAATGGCTTGGTGCTCTCCTGCCTAAGAGCTCACATGTCACCTCATGCCAAAAATCACCAGAGATGTTCAAGCTGAAGTCCCCTCAGTATAAAAGGGCTGGCTTTCTCTACAACAGGATGCTCTCCTGGCTTTGAAGCTTGCTCCCCCTTGGTTTGAAATAGCTCTAACCTGTTGACTTTCTGGATATGCTGCAAAGAAGGACACTGCTGGAAGGCTACTTCTTGGGTGTGCATAGGGTACTATTCCTCATTTGCCTTTTAATAGATGGTTTGAGTGGTTGCTGCTGGTTTTGTTTTTATATTCAGTTGAGCTTTTTAAGCAATTGTTAAAGGTGCTGAAAGTTTGGGATCAGTTATAAATCTACAGTGTGATAGAACTGCTTTGTTATGTGCTATGAACTCAGCTGTTTAAAAGAGTGCAACATAAACATTTGCCTGAAGGGGATAAACATGTCAAGGGACAGCACTATAATAGAAATAGTACACAAAGCCTAGTCTGCATTTGGCAAAGATAGTTGGTAGACAGGAGATGCCAAATTTAATTACGGCTTATACAGAGAGATATGAGCTGGAATGGCAAACATAATAGCTACTTTCATTTATAGATATAGAGAAAGGAAAGAAAGCAGCTAAGCTCTAAAGTGTTTAGCACAACTATGAAAACAATTCCATAGTTAAAATGTTTTTTTGGTTTTTTTTTTAAAAACCTATTAATTAGGTTTCTTGGAACATTCTCATAATAGCTCAGACAGTGGATTTACACCTCTGTTCCAGCCTGTAGAGGAAAAAAACCAACTCATTGCTCAAAGGACAACATCCCTAGGTTAGCAATATTGTTATATTCCAGTCTGAGTCCAGCAATAACTGTAAATACAGTAGCACAGAGCAAAAATTTTTACACCACTAACATACCATATGGGTGAAACATCCAAGCTAACAGACTGCAAGGTATCTAACAGGTCAGAAGTTCCATGCATTTTTACGCCTGGGTATTAAGAACATAAGAACAGCCATACTGGGTCAGACCAAAGGTCCATCTAGCCCAGTATCTGGTCTTCCAGTAGTGGCCAATGCCAGGTGCCCCAGAGGGAATGAACAGAACAGGTAATCATCAAGTGATCCATGCCCTGTTGCCCATTCCCAGATACAATATAAAACCAAAAAGTTTTAGCATCATCCTGGTGGGACCATCTGCTCAGCTCCTCTAGAATTCAAGTTATACTACATGGATTGTCCTCTGAGGAAGACAGTTTCTCGGAGTAATCTTCCTGGAAAGTTTTCCTATGTGAGCCCCACAGAGTGAGACCACCAAATCAGTTCCAAGATCAAATGTGCGAGTGCAGAGCAATCTCAGAATGGCAGTCCAACACTGCATCAGAAGATGTGTTTAAATGCAATTTGTATTGCTACACTAAAGTATGCAGAAAAGCTCAAGACGCTGCCCTGCACAACTTGTATGAAAGACATTTTGCTCTTGCCAACCATAGAAGAGTAAGCTTTCATCCCAAAAATGTGGTGGTCTCATCTTGTCAAGTAAGTCTCCTGGATACTTAGGCCACCAGGAAAGGGGTGCCAGAGTCACACACTCTTTAGGATTCAAATAAGTATGGTTCTTGATCTAAAAGTAACTAACTTTTGGTGGGCAGGCTGAGAGAACAGCTTAGCCACTTCCCAGTCTACATAGAAAACAAAAGGGTCCCGCCGTTAAACAAAAAAACGCTGCAACTCTCCTCATATTAAAAAACAGCTGCCAAGAACCTTGTCTTTAGAGTAAGGAACCAAATGGGAACCCAAGTTTCAAATGGCTGATTTATCAAATCGTTCAACAGCAGGCTAAAATGAACCAAGGAGGCAATGTGTCAGCGGATCTAAAAACAAACCCAGAAAA